CCCCAAAACCCCAAAACCCCAAAACCCCAAAACCCCTCTAATCTTTCAAAATATAAACCATTATACAAAATGGAACCTAATTCCTTCCAAAGCTCTAAAAAAGGAGCAGAAGTAAGTACCTTTAGCCTCGGGGTTCATGTGCAACTCCTCTTTGTATAGGAAGATAAGCGAGACATTACGGGAAATCATTATGAATATGAAGTGGGAAGTGATCGGACAATAAATACTAGTGAATATGAGGACTCATCGTTCAGTGCTTGTATCATGAAGGAAGAGAAGTCAGACAAGGAACAGGATGGAGGCCTTGAGGAGATATAAAGAATCAGAGCTCTGAGGAGAAGAAGAAGATCATTTATTTTGAGGATTCTGACGAGGAAGATAGCGTTAGAAGAGAAGATATAGGTAGGAAATTTTATTTTTAGGATTTTGAGTTTATGCTTAATCAAATGAAAAGATCGCTAAGAACTAATTTGATACCCAATTTCCTTCCCTATCTCTTCACCCTTCCAGCCTATTTCTCCCATTCACCCACTGCCCCTTTCACTAGTGCCACCTACATCTTTCAAGCGAAGGTGGGGTCCCCCAGTGAGTCCCTGAATAAGCATGGAAAGGAAAAAGTCAGAATGGGCTGTATGAGGATAGGAAGCTCAAAGAGGTTATTCTTATTAGAAAAGCCTAAAGATTTTTAACAATTTATTATAGAAGATCATAAGAATGAGATGAACTTACCACAAATTGATGATCCAGATTCCAATCAGAAATAGAAGATCAAAATCATGTCCGACATCACACAAATGTGGTACAAAAAAAAATTGAAGCAACTCGTCTCTTGACCGATCCATTTCAGAGAAGTTTGTACACTCCTCAGAAACATCTAATCAAAACATTACCTCAGAATGAGTAGAGAGAAATTCAGATAGCTACTCAGAAATTTTTTTAGCCTCATTTTACTATGAACTTTTTGACTCTAATTCAAATGAAACTTACACTAACAAAACATACGATGGTGATCTCTGCATCTGAGACCCTGGAGAGATAAGCTCTACAACTTCCTTCTATTGCAAAAGCTTAAGTCTGATGTGAACCACATCCCTCAGATCTACCATTTCAACCACATCAACAAAGTCTGAGCCTTTACAGACTCTGAGAACCTTAAATGACTCTATGTCACCCCTAACACCTACAGACGAGAATAATTCCCCAAAAGCCTACTCGACTTCAGGTTAGTAAGCCAGAGGGAAATTATGCTACTCGTCTTGATAAACCAGCTTTGTCTCCATTATGATCAAAGCAATGAATCTCTATTCGAATTCATCAAGATATTTTAAAGAACGGTTATATTCCATGAGCCATATGTTTTATGGGGTTTTGGGGTTTTGGGGTTTTGGGGTTTTGGGGTTTTGGGGTTTTGGGGTTTTGGGG